GGGGGATGCTGTGCTCTGCAAACAACCCGACCCGCACATAAAAGGGGACTGTCCTCGTGAAGTAGTGGCTCTGGAGCCCCCCAGGGGGTCAGCAAGGGCTGGTGGTCCCAGTGCTGGGGGCACAGCAGGTCCCAGCACTGAGTGTGTAGGTCCCAGTATGTCCCAGGGCTGAGCGCCAGTGTTCCAGGATGTCCCAGTGCCAGCAACTGGGGCCTCAGCGAGCTCCAATATGAAGACCATGAGCCCCAGTGAACCCCTGCACAGGAGCTGTGCATCCAGTCCAGTGCCAGAGACTGGGGCCCTAGAAACCTCCAATATAAAGGCAATGCATCCCAGTACAGCCCTGTGCAGAGGCTGTGGGATCCAGCATGTCGCAGTGCTAGGGCCATGGATGTCACCACACCCCAGTGCCAAGGAGGCACAATGACCCCAGAGCAAGCTCCGGTGTAACAGCCCTGGATCCCAGCATGTCCAGAAGCTGGGCACGCAACAACATCCAGTGCTGGGCTTGTGGATTCCAGCACATCCCACTGCTGAGGCTACGGATCCCAGCATATCCCAGCACTGGGGCCAAGGGTCCCAGCACGTCCCAGTGACAAGCCTGTGGGTCCCAGTACATTCCAGCCCCTCCCAGCACCGTGAGAGGGAAACGGTGACTCAGAGCTGCCGGGCTGGTGGGAGCCGGGTGCCCCTTTGCCCCGTGTGGGGCGAGTGCTGTGGCCACCGATCGCTCCCGGCCACCGCCGGCGCCCCGGCAGCCGCAGCCCTGCACCGAGCTCAGCCACGCTCCCCTCCCATCCTCTCCCCTTCCTGCGTGCGGACACCCTTGGAAAGGCTCTTGGCCGCTTTCTCTGAGACAGGAAGGTGTCCCCGAGTCTCAGGAAGGAAAAACACTCAGTGCTGAACCCACAAAGACCGTCTCTGAGGGGCCAGGGCTGGAGAGGCTCCAGGCCTGACATCACCTGGGAACTGGAACCAGAACCGCAGCTGCACTCCGCGCCTGGTATTTTTTTTTTTTTAACTTGTGTTTTTAAACTTTCTTTTTATAGATTTTTATTTTATTATTTATTTTCCCCTTTCCCTTCTCCATTCCCCTCCCAAATATTTCAGCCTCCCCGCAGGCTGGCCAGCCAGGCTGGAATGCAGCAGGGCTGCACCCGCGGGTGCCGGGAGCTGCCTTGCTGCTGGGATGGATGAGGCTGGGTCTGGCCAGGCAGGAGCTGCTGGATCCATGGGCAGGGGTCAGGCTGGGGCTCACGCCCCGTGACAGGGGCCAGGACCTGATAGCCCCTGGTACTGCTGTGCACCAGTGCTGCTGGAAAGGGATCCATGGCCAAGCAGGGACACAGGAGGGTCAGTCTCCCATGGGGTGTGGGAGGACAGAGGGCAGAGGGGTCAGGCAGAGCCCGCAGTCCGTGGGCAGCGCTGCTTTCCCGACACACCGCCCCCAGGACAGGGCTGTGGAGTCAAACCACGTCTGAGTCTGAGTCAGCGGAGCAAGAGGAGCCAGACAGGGATAGAGGACACAAAGACAGATTTTGGGCCCAGGATCCAGCCCTACTCATTCCTCGTCCTTTGGCAACACCTTTGGGTGCTGCCTGACCCTCCCTGGGCTTCCCCCAGAGTGGAGGCTCATGATAAAGACCCCAGTGTATCCTGGAGCAAAGCTCAGTTGCCTGTTGCCTGGGGAATCCTCCCTTGGGATGTGACAGCCATCAACTGAGTGTCCCAGGTCACTCTGAGCCCTGTCAGATGTGGGGTGAAGGACTGGGAAGGGAGCCCCAAGGTCTAGATGGCACTGAGTGGAGACAGGGTGACACATCCCTGCTGCCCAGGGCAGGGTGGAGAGAAGGATCAGCGAGGGATGGGATGGGATGGGATGGGATGGGATGGGATGGGATGGGATGGGATGGGATGGGATGTCAGACCATGGTCCTCCAGGTGGGGGTGCTGGGCAGTCTCTGCCTCCCCATGCCACCAGACCCAGACTGGCATCCTGCCAGGGTCCCTGGGGAAGAAAACAGGCAAAGGGTCTGCCTGAGACCCCCAAGACACCTGGCAGATCCTCACCATCACGAGGGATGCACGGCAAGAATGCCCCAAGGTCCCACATATCCCAGGGGTGCAGCGGGCACTGCTGCAGGGCTGCCACGTCCCCCCCATGCACAGGAGCCCTCGGAGCTGTTCACCCTGCTGGGACCTCGTGCCAGCTGCGGTCCCTGGGGACACGGGCCCGGCAGCAGGGACAGGGTGTGAGGCCGTGGCGCGGGGTGAACGCCAGGTTAATCTCCCGCTGGAGCTTCCCTCTGCAAACAATAAGACAATGCCCGGCCGGGGCCGCCTGCGTAACCAGCGGCGAGGAGGGGAAGTTGTAATATTTGGATTTAGCCCTCAGTAAATTAAGGAAGAAAAAGGAAAAAACGCTGGGGGTAATCAGAGCAGGGCTGGCCCCGTGCCCTGCCCCATGGCCAGCAGCCCTGGGGGCTCAGCTCAGCCTGTGGGCAGCAGGTGAGCAGGGCCAGAGGCTCTGAGTCACTGAGGCCAGGCATGGCTGGGAGAGGGACATGTCCCTGAAGGCCAGGCAGGGGACAGGCATGTCCCCACCATGGGGACAGCAGCCTGGAGGGTCAAGGCTTGGATACCCAGCAGCGCTGTGGGCAAACATCTCCAGCCACATCAGAAAAAAGGGATCTGGGCCAGGAGGTTATTTTAATCCAAACCTCTTCATGGGAAATAAAATCTTATTTCTGCAGCTGGGGTGGCTGGGCAGGAGAGGGCCTGGGGGGGTCGTCACCTTCAGCTGGCAGTGGGTGGCAGGGGATGACAAGGGAGGGGGCTGTGCCAGGATGTCTCCACTGCACAGCCCCTTTCCCAGCACAAGCCCTGCAGCGGTGCTGGTTCCCTGGGATCCCACGGCAGGGCCCACACTCAATCAAACATACACCGTGGCTGGACATGGGGCTCTGAGAGGGGATGGAAAAAGGTCTCACCGCAGGGAATGCCTGCAGATGCTCAGGGCAGGAGCAGTGCTGCAGGGATGGCCTTAAGCCTTCCAAAATGTGGCCATCCCACACACCAGCACCCCCACTCCCCCAGGGCTGCCCCTGCCTGTCCTGGCCCCAATGGGGTGAACAAGGCAGGGACACCCCAGTTTGGGGGGCAGGGCTGGACCCCACCCTGCAGGATCTGAACTGGGGGCCTGGGAGGGCTCCATCCCCCGCTGTGCCCTGGGGAGACCCTTCCCCTGCTTGGTGACCCGGGGTGGTGCGGGCTGGCCGGAGCTGGGGCAGGTGGGGGAGAGGTGAGCAGCGGGCAGCAGCGGCACGGGAAGGCCTTGGGCACGGTGCCTCACGCCGGGAGCCCATTTCCCCACAACAGGGGCCGTTATCAGCGGCAAATCCTCCGAGCGGTCCCAGGGGGGACCTCCAGCCCTTCCCCTCCACCTACCCCACCGCTCTCCCGCTCCGGCCCACGTCAATGCCGCCGCGAAGGTGTCGGAACAATCGCCTGACAAAGAGCTATTTTTAGGGGCCGGGGCTCGGAGCGAGGATACGGCCCGGCCGCTGACAATGGGGGGAAGGGGGCCGGGCTTCCCCCGTGACCACTCGGCAGCAGAAGGACCTGTAAGATTTCCTCGATGACCCAGGCCCGTACAATACAAGGAAAGCGCGAGAGGGAGATACCCCCGCCAGGACGAGCTGCTCCTTTACCTAATGGGAGTGACCCGGGGTGAGGGGCTGCGAGCTTTGGGCCAGCGGCCTCCCCTGGGGGAGACTCCCACACCGGGAGGGAAGGGGGGTGAAGCCTGGCCGTGCTCAGCTTTCCGTGAGGTCGAGGTGAGGGGGGGCCCGCAGGCTCCCTTCTGAAGGGCATGGGGAGATCTGGAGGGGGTAAAGGGGTGCAGACATAGCTCAGCACACCCCCTTCCCCTCCAGGCTGGCTCACAGCTCGAGGTGGGAGGACGGTGACCAGCCCAGAGCTGCATGTCCCCAGCTGGCCTGGTCTGAGTGTGCCACGAGCCCCGGCTGCTGCTCGTCCTCAGGCTGAACCTGGATGCCTTTCCTCCCACCTCAGGGTCTCCCCCAGTTCAGCCTGTGCCAGATGGGTTGGACCATTTGCTCCTGCCAGTCCTTTGGGGGAAAAGCGATGTCCTGGGCTGCACGGCAAGAAATTGGGCTAAAAAGGTGAAAGGCAGGGAGAGAAGGTCACGGGGTGCTGGACTAGGTCAAGGCTTGGCCTGGTTGCTGGCCGGGCTGCCGGCTCAACAGAGGGATAAGCCCCTTCTATGAACAGCGCCCGAGACCCCGCACGCCGGGCGGGCCCCCACCGCTCTGCGGCGGCCCCGGGGTCTGGGAGGGCCGGGGCCGGGCCGGTGGAAGGGCTGGAAAGGGCTGATAGAAGGTCCAGAGAAGGGCTGAAGAACGGCGGGGACAGGGCTGTGGAAGGGCCAGGACAGGACTCTGGAAGGGCGTGGGAAAAACCGGGGTAAGGGCCGGTACCGGGGCCGATGGAGGGGCCGGGGCAGCGCCGGTACCGGAGCACCTCCGCAGGCCACAGTCGCCCCCTGGCGGCGGGTCCCGCGCACAGCCCCGCAGAGGGGCTGGGCCCAAGCGGCCGCCGCTCACGGTCGGGCCTCTCGCCGGCTCTGCGGAGGCCGACACGGACCCCGCCACCTTCCCGCGGCTCACGGGGACACAGCTGGGCACGGAGCGGGAACAAACCCGCGTCCTTCCCGCCCCACCGTCACCATCGTGGACTACAACTCCCATAGCCCCCCGCGGCGTGCTCCACCCTTCCCTGCGCACGCCCCCGCGGCGCGTGGCGGGGTTCGCGCGGTTTCCGTTTCCGGCGCGCCTCGCTCTGGTCCCTGCGGCGGCGGCCGAGCCTTGTGCCTCCGCCATATTGTCTGTGTGCGGCGGCGGCGGCGGCGGTAGCGGCCGCGCCAGGTACCGGCGGCTCCGGCGCCCAAGCGGGGCCCCGCGGCGGTGGCGGGCGGAGCGGGCGGCGGGGGGGAGGCGCCGCTGTGCCTCCTGAGCTCCTCCGCCCCCCCGCCGCGGGCGCGGTGTGGGCCGGGGGGCCGCGGGTGCCCCTCAGGAGAGCGGGGCCGCGGCGGCGCTGAGGGGGAGCGGGCAGAGCGGGCGGGTCCGGTGCGGCGGAAAGGGCACGGCCCGCCGCCCGCTGCCCTCGGAGGGGCTCCGAGTCCCCGGGGGGAGCGGGCAGGGGCTGTGGAGGGGCCGCCCCGCTGCCCCCAGCCCGGTGCGGGGCCGCGCAGGAAGGGCAGAGCCCCGCGGAACGGGAGCCGTCCCCTCCCCCAGCTCTCCCAGCTCGCACGTTCGGGCCGTGTAGGTGTTATTTTCCTAAATTGCTCGATCTTGCCTCTTCCCCGCCCTGCCCGGAGAAGCGGGGAGATGGAAGGGCCTGGTAGTGCTCGCTGCCACCCCCGGCTGCGCGGGGGCTCCATTCTGCGCCTTTCTGGGTGGAGGGAAGGTCGTTCTCACGGCTTTCCACACCAGTCTCTGGAAGCAGTGGTGGTCAGTGTTGCCCCCGCTGTAATTTAGTTAATTGTGCCTTGGGACCGAGAGCAGTGTGTCTGTTGGTAAAATGTGGTTTGTAAGAGAGGGGTAAGATGAGATTGTGGAACCCCATGCGTGTCAGATCACTTAATTGTTTCTTACTGAGGGCTTTGGGTAAAAACAATAAAGTTTGGATTGTGAATATTCAAGCAAAGCGGAGGGGCAGGCACTGATCTGTGGTCTCTGGTGATCGGTTGCAGGACCTGGGGGAACGGCATGGAGCTGTGTGCAGGTGGTTTAGGTCGGATATTAGGAGAAGGTTTTTCACCCAGAGGGTGGATGGAGACTGAAACAGGCTCCCCAGGGCAGTGGTAACAGCCCCAAGCCTGACAGAGTTCAAGGAGCATTTGGACAAGGTTCTCAGGCACAGGGTGGGATTGCTGGGGTGTCCTGTGCAGGGCCAGGAGTTGGACTTGATGTTCTTTGTGGGTCACATCCAGCCCTGGTACCCTTGAGAGGGGTCTCTTGATTTGGGATTTGTGTTGCTCAAACCTGACCCTGGGCTGGGGCCTTGGGGAGCTGCTCTTGCACTGACCCTGGTGCCAGGCTTTGAATCTGGGCACTTGTCCCTGTAGAGGGCTGTGCCATGTGCTCACCTGGCTCCTCATGGAAGCTCAGTCCTGGGTGCACTCCACAGATGGGTTGGGAAGAGCCCGTGCCAGAGGGGACTGGGCACAGTGGCAGCTGTTCAGAGGAAAGCAAGTGGACACCCAGCATTTCTGCTTGGGGCTGGGAGTGATTTCTTTGTTCTTTGAACATACTCTCTTTTCTGAAACAGAAATTACTCAAATTGTTCAGACTCAGAGTTGGGGCTTGTGCCATCCTGCCAGCCAGCCTGGGTGTTGGATGTGAATCCAGGGTGGATTCTGGGTGCATCATCAGCTGGGGCAGAGGAATCGCTCATCCTGTGGTTGCTGGTTTGGTGTGATGTAGAAAAGGGCAAAGTTCCTGCTAGGAGAGGAGAGAGTGAGCTTGGGAAGACTCAAGGCAAGATTTGGGGCAAGTGTGAAGCTTTATCAGTTCCTTAATTAGCCCTAAAACTAGGATTAGGGTAAGGTTCCAGTTCCTACAGCACAGGCTCTGTGGAGACACACACCATGTCTGTAACTGGAAGATGAAAATTGGGATGTCTGGTCCCAGGTGCAGGGCAGGCAGTGCTCTGCACTCAGGAGATCTGCCTGTGCCTGTGCCTGGAATCCCTGTTCCCTTTGGGTGACTCCTGACAGGGAAGGTAAATTTGTAAAGGTCCAGACATTGTACAATTGTAACTGTAAAGGTCCAGACCTTTCCCTGAGCGTGAAGAATGTCCATCTTTGGTGGTAGGCAGTGATCCTTTCCTTTCATCTCACCAGTGGAGAGAAGTTTCCATTATTTCACCGTCCTCTAGTGATTTATTTCAATACCTGGTAACATAGTTTCTGTTGTTAGTGAAATGTGCTGTTTTCTTGTTCCAGTGTGTGTGGTGGTAGAGTTGGGTGTGCGTGTCCTGCCCTCAGCAGAGAGCTTGGCTGGTCAGCTGCTGCCTATGGGGAGTTGAAGCAGGGTTGAGGAAGGGAACGTAGTCTTGGCTTTGGCTGCAGCAAAGAAGCAAAAACTCAGCAGCTGAAGATCTGGGTGAGGGGATGAGGCACAGAGCCTGGGCAGATGTGGTGAGAGGTAGATGTTGGAGGAGAAAAACACTTCAAGTGGGAGGGTCAGAACAGGTTTTCTTGGTTTGTCAGGGCTCATGGGTTCATAGATGGAGGGAAAGTGAGGCTTGTTGGATGTTGGGAGTATGGCTCTTGGGAAAAGTGGTACTAAAATTGGCAGTAGGTTCTAGCAAATGTGGAGGAAATTGGATCATGGAATGTTGCATGACATTCAGGTTGTTGAGGTTTGTGCAGGGGCAGTTAATGGCGCTTGTTTGCTTCAAAAAAGGCTGGTGAGATGTGAGAATGAAGATGGAAACCTGGGATTGGGAATTGGTGTGATGAAATGCCATTTCCTGACGGTGAGACATTGAAAGAGTTTGATATTTGGGGCAATTTCAAGTCATGCAGATTAGATTCATCAGCATGGAATGCGTTGGAAGGAGGAATCTCAGGGTATAAAGGATGTTGAAAGGTGGTTATAGGAAAGGTGGTTATAGATTTGTGGAGCTGTAGAGAAAGAAACTTTCTGCTCTGATGAAAGGGACACGTACCAAACTTTTCCCAATTTTGTTAAATGCTGGGTGTCCTTACACTTCCATTTCAGTTCTTCTCCATTTTCTCCTTGCAGAACTAATTTTCTCTTTGTCTTTCCTGATGTCCTCTGAGGGTTCATAGATGGAGGGAAAGTGAGGCTTGTTGGATGTTGGGAGTATGGCTCTTGGGAAAAGTGGTACTAAAATTGGCAGTAGGTTCTAGCAAATGTGGAGGAAATTGGATCGTGGAATGTTGCATGACATTCAGGTTGTTGAGGTTTGTGCGGGGGCAGTTAATGGCACCTGTTTGCTTGAAAAAGGCTGGTGAGATGTGAGAATGAAGATGGAAACCTGGGATTGGGAATTGGTGTGATGAAATGCCATTTCCTGACGGTGAGACATTGAAAGAGTTTGATATTTGGGGCAATTTCAAGTCATGCAGATTAGATTCATCAGCATGGAATGCGTTGGAAGGAGGAATCTCAGGGTATAAAGGATGTTGAAAGGTGGTTATAGATTTGTGGAGCTGTAGAGAAAGAAACTTTCTGCTCTGATGAAAGGGACACGTACCAAACTTTTCCCAATTTTGTTAAATGGTGGGTGTCCTTACACTTCCATTTCAGTTCTTCTCCATTTTCTCCTTGCAGAACTAATTTTCTCTTTGTCTTTCCTGATGTCCTCTGAGGAATAAGGGAAAGGAAGACAGGAGAAGCAAATGGGTGACATTGTGGTGGTGTGATTAATTTCGTGTCACATTTCTGAAGAGGCAGGGATTTATTTCTGGGTTACCAGACCTGTCACCTCCACCGTTCCTCCAGGATGGAATTGCTTACATTACGATATTTGTTTTAGAACTCTGTGCATGAGATTGTTGTCATCTTAGGTCTTATTGTCCCATAAGGGTCTTGAGAGAAAAAAACAAAAAAACAAAAAACAAGATGATTTTAAGATCAGCAAATACTGCCTTGACTTAGACTGGCTACAAACATTTGTTGCAAGACAGCTCTTGGATAATTTTTCTGAGCTTGGATATCTCCTTCCAGGGGCTTCCAAGAGCTGACTTCCCTGGAATTTGCAGAATGTAATTGGAGAAAGGGAGTTCTCCTTTGAACCTGAAAAAACTGCTTGGAAGAGGAGGCTGCAGCTTTTTGAGCTGGTGTTAGTACTGCTGCTGAATGTAGAGTGTTTTTCCAAGCTGGTTTTTGGCCCCTTTTTCCATCAAGGTGCCAAACTGACATATTGGTAGGGAAGATTGATGAGAAGTGGGGTTGTTGATGTGGTCATGGGATCAGTGGTTCCTGGATATTTTCTGGTGAGGAATCCAGTAGAGAAGCAGCAACATGAGCCTGGCCCAAGTCTCATCTGCTCCTGTTTTCTCACTGTTCTGGACAAATGGTTTTATTGCCCATCTCATGCTGCTGCTTTGGGAAGCAGAAGAGCAGAAGGGAAGCTTGGAGTTCTTTGTGGACTTGGTACCACTACAGATTCACATTTGGAAGGTTACAACTTCAGTCATTTTAATTTTCCACGGAGTTGAGTTCTGAGATTTAGGTTATATCCTCCTTACTGAGTTCTATTTTTTAATTAATATTACCATTTAAGGGAGGTGGTTTCTAAAGCAGGCTGTCCAGCTCCTGCCTATGGAATGGCTGCATCATATTATGGCAGTTTATTTCATGTGAGTGGTGAATAAATTGTGTGCTAGATGGAAAACAATTTTGAGTCAAGGCAAGAGTTTGGCTGCAGGTTTCCCATTGGACAGTCTGAAGTGTTAACAGCAGACCTAGAAAATTGAAGTTACTCACTCTGTTTTTGCAGAGAAGGAGGCTCTGCCCTTGCACCTTCTGGAACAACCAAAGGCTAAATTAGTCCTCTTTTAATTAAGCCAAATTCAGGGAGAATCCAGTGTGCTAATACAGAATTACATGCCAGAACTTGCTTTCCCTGGGTGGGAAAGGTCTTCCTGTGGTGGGAAGAAGTGGCCACAAATCCTCTTGTGTGTCCAGAGAGCTGAAAAGGTGCCTCTCCCTGTGTTACCAAAGCCTTTGGAGAAGGCATTTTCTCAGAGCATATTTGCACATGTGCGTGTGAGTTGTCAGAAAGTCTTTATTTTTAGTGCTCAGAAAATGGATGAGCGTGGACGCGCACAACAAATTAATTTCCAGTCTAGAAAAGCAAGAGCTCCTGCAGTGTTCCTTCTCTTGCAGCCTTTTTCACAGGTTTTTCTATCTGTTACCAATGTGCTGTTGAATTTGAGTCTTTCTTCCACACTTGGTTGTACTCCAGAAAGGAAAAAGAGGGCTTTTTCCTCACACTGCAGCATCTAGATTAATTTCAGCTGAGCTTACAAATTAAGTTACAAGTTTTGGCACAATGGCTTTACTGGGGGCTTGTAAGGTGTGAAGGAGAGTGCTGATTGCTGGAGTTTAATAGCTGGGGGTTTTTTTCCATTTGATTCTTGGAATGGTGGTAGCTGGTTTCATCTTGTGTTAATAATGATAAATTTTTAGAGAATTATGTCAGAACTTCACTTCTGGCAGGGATTTGCACCGGGTGCCTCTTGCTGAGCCTGCTCAATGCTGGCTGAGGGTTGGAGATGGTTTGT